AGCAGGAGGCCGGCCCCTGTAGGAACGGCACTGCCGGTGCCAGTCGCTCCGAGAGCAGGGAGCCAGCCCCTGTAGGAACGGCGCTGCAGGAACCAGTCGCTCCGAGAGCAGGAGGCCGGCCCCTGTGGGAACGGCACTGCCGGTGCCAGTCGCTCCGAGAGCAGGAGGCCGGCCCCTGTGGGAACGGCGCTGCCGGAACCAGTCGCTCCGAGAGCAGGGAGCCAGCCCCTGTGGGAACGGCGCTGCCGGAACCAGTCGCTCCGAGAGCAGGAGGCCGGCCCCTGTAGGAACGGCACTGCCGGTGCCAGTCGCTCCGAGAGCAGGGAGCCAGCCCCTGTAGGAACGGCGCTGCCGGAACCAGTCGCTCCGAGAGCAGGAGGCCGGCCCCTGTGGGAACGGCGCTGCCGGAACCAGTCGCTCTGAGAGCAGGAGGCCGGCCCCTGTGGGAACGGCGCTGCCGGAGCTGCCACCCGCGTGGGAATGACCCTGCGCCACTAGCTGCATGTGCAGGGAGCCTGAGCCATCCCTGCGTGCTGGGGGGGAGCTGCCCCCCCGTGACCCACACAAGCTGTTGCTGCAGAGGGCAAGGGGTGTAGTGGTGACACAGGGCACATCAAGGGCTCCCCTGGAGCATGGGGGGGTAGGGTCCCCACAGCCTCCCCCCTGCCCCCAAGGAAGGAAACCCCCCCAGACCAGCAAGGAAAGACTTTATTCTCTGAACAGTTACAGTGAGGCCAATTTCCCCTCACCCCAAATCTCCAGGAAGCCTCACAGATGCCGCTGCAGTCTCCCCTCCTGTCCCCGCAGGGTGGGGGGGTTTGCAGGGGAATCTCTGGTGCCCTCCTGCCCCAGCAGGGGGCCCTGGTGAAGTGGGGGGACCCCCACCCCACTAGGCCAGGCGGGTGCAGAGGCTTCATTCAGGCAGCCAAGGGGGGCAGGTGCTGCTGCCAGGGGAAAGCTGGGCGGGTCCCCAACCAGCCCCTGTGACACCCCCACAGGTCAAGCCAGGGCACCTCAGGAACTCAAGGGGAGCCCTCCCCCCATTTCAGCCAGCCGCCCCTGCGGCTCAGACGGCGACCGGCTCCCGCACGTGGTTCTGTCGCTTCACCACGAAGATCTTCTGGCCAGAGACGGTCACCAGGAAGGTGTGTTCCCCGAACACCACTGGGGGGAGAGAGTTTGGCATGAGACCACCCCACTGCCAGGGGGCGGGGGGGGGGGGGGAGAAGAGAAGAGAGCCAGGGCTGGCCACCCTCGCTACCCCAGAGGCTCATGGGAGATCGAACAGAGACCCCTCTTTCCCCACAGGGGTTGATGGGAGTCGGACAGGGGAGCGTGGCCCCAGGGGAAGTTTCTGTATTGGATCAATCTTGGGGTGGGGGTGGGGGAAGAGACCCCTTGGGGTCGCAGAGGCTGTTCTGGAGCAGGGGGCGTATCACTGCTCCTGGCACGTCACTGACAGGGAGCTGGGAACAGGGGAGAAGGCCTGGGGCTATAGCACCAGCCCACGCCCCCCTGCCATGCCAGCACCTCCGCCCCCTGCCCAGCAAGAGTAATTCCCTCCCAAGCATGTGGGCTCACCTGAGAGGCGTTTGAAGGGGGGGTCGGGACCACGCTGGAGCCGGAAGCTGCAGGCCGTGGCCACCAGCTCCGAGATCACCCCAGCCGTGTGCTCGGCGTTCTCCAGGTCACCAGCCGACTGCGGAGCAGGGGAGGGGGGAGCCAGGGGTTAGAGTAAGGACCCCCCCAACCCCCAAATTCACACAGTGGGTCAGCAGCACAACTGTGTATAGAAACACACACACCTCGCTCTAACCCACCAGCCCCCCACT